GTTAGAGACCACTGCTAAAGCTACCACATATATATATATATATATATATATATATATATATATATATATATATATATATATATATATATATATATATATATATATATATATATATATATATATATTACCGTAGATGGCAAGATAGGAAGTTTTAAATAGAAATAGTATGAATTTACAAATGTTTTCAGAGACATGAGACATGAGACACAAACAACATGCAAAATGACTGCACAAAGCATCAATCTGAAAAAAATAAAATAAAATCTGCTGATATCTTATGACTTCCATAACTTTTCCCAGTGCGTCAGCCATGAACATACAGAGCAGGTGTCTCCGTCCTTTAATATTACATAATGCCACAACCTCATGTTTTCTATCTTATATCCTTTCATTTTCGACTCTCTCCATATGTCCTCTTTTGACCACATGATGAGTCGCCCGTCCATCCCCACACAGGACGCTCCCACATGCATCCTCTGCTTTGGTTTTGTAACTCTTTCACAGTTGCTGATTGCAGGTGGACTTGTTGCCAAATAGTGGAAGTGGCGTCATATGGCAAAGACTGCAGAGGAAAAAGCCCTGAGTGCAGACAGGGGACAGGCTTATGAGGTGCAATGTCCTCACTCACCGCATTCAAATTAACTGCAATTAGGTAAGTGCACTTGTAAAAATAAGAATGCAGGGCATGTTTTGACCTCAACTGCCTTTCATTTTCAACTAATAACAAACGATTAAGACAAACAATTATTGTCTGAGTAAAAGTAATGAACTGTGACAAACAATAAGCAGAAACAAAAACAGAAGTTTTTTAATTTGATTAATTTTAATAAACCTGGAGGTGGATATGGGGGATGCTAAATATTTAACTTAGTCCCAAAGTATTCTGTCACTGTAGTGAGAAACATGTATTCATCAGCAGTGATGCAGCAGTGAATGGGTTGTTTCATGGCTCTTTTGTTTACTTTTTATTATTGTTTTGGTTAATACAGTTTTGCTTTCTGTTGGATTTGTTTTGACAACACTGATTGAAAACTAAATAAAACTGTTGATTTCTTTCTTTCTTTCTTTTTTTTTTTTTCTTTTTTTTAAGACGTTTTGTGACATGAACCTTTAATGATGGAACATTATGATGCAGGTATACCACTAAGCATAGTATAAAAGAGTGTTTACATTTAAGAGAATATAATAATAACAGCCAAAGCAATGGTATATTTAGTAAGATACGGAGTGGCAGAACAGGACAACTTGACAAATAACTTGTCACAATAGAAAATTTATCCGGAATTAAATGTTTCCATCTTTGAGAACTTTTAAGAACCAGTTTCTCCCAGTGTCTTAATTACATAACTCCATAGTAGAACAGAGATGAAAAACACATATTTGATATCTACAAAAAGTAGCCTTATATATTTTATTCAAAAACTTAGAGCACAGGACTTCCTTTCTTAATATGCAGAAGCAATATGTTCATAATATTTTCACCCCAGGCGTCAATGCTTCTAAAGGCTTGCAAAGTCTGTAGACGTTTCCTGAACATTAAATAAAATACAAAGCAAAGCTGCCGTGAAATTAGCTATTTTGGGCTTCGGCGATCCTGAAAAGTCTGGTGATCCTGGTGGGACTGTGGTGTGCGCTTTGACTAAGCCCACTTAATCTATACACCATATAGTCTATACTTTTCCGCGTAAGGCAATCTTACCCAGGATTTTACTACAAGTGCTGCTGCCAGTCATTATTGTTCTCTATCGTGGTAGCAGGCAACTCTTAACTTTAGGTCTAATAAATGACACTGACCATAGCAATAACATGTCCTCCTTATATGTAGACAGGGCCTGGAGACACCATTGAGAACTTACACATATTTTTACAATGCTTTTGACAGATTTAATGGCGTCATAGGTGAACGTCTGGACATTCTTTTGTGCTGACTTTTTGCACCCACTCACGTGTAGGTGTCTGGGCACTGTTCATTTTCTGAAGAAGCTCCTGCCTCCAGGTGTAAATAAACACATGAGGTCACTATAAACAGCGCCACAGTCTAGCTATGTCATTCTACTAAAGTAACACTTGTGGATTAGGGCCAGATCACACCTGCTTATGGCTTCCATTACTCACTCAGGTCCAGATGCAGACCCATAAACACACAATTGTCCATTGAATACTGCTTTTATTGGATGTGATTGGCTTTAAGTGTGATTGATACTGTGATTATTGAGCCTTAAATTATAGTAAATAGGGCATTAAACTAGCACCTTTCTATTTGAGATACGGATAATCTTGCAGTAAGGTTCTGTTTAGTGTTCACTATTGTTTAGGTTTAGGTAAAAAACAGTATTGAGTATTGAGTAGTGAATAACGTATTGAAGCCTGCTATATCCCAGTTGCATAGCAGCGTTTTCTGTCACCACCTGAGATGCTTTGTGACGTGTCCTCACTGTACTGAGTCTTATGCTGTGCGTCCTCATCACTTTCGGCTTAAAGGTGCACTGTGTAACTTTACTGCTGGGGAGTTCTGCCACCAGCTTGTCTCCGTGGAGAGGATATTGCTTTACCTAGGATATTTTACAGTATGACATTAAACATGTTTACTTTACATTTCTAGAATTACAGATCTTTTTATTGCAAAATTCATTGACATGACCAGATCAAGTAATAATACTATAACTTGATCTTGGTTCAAGCAGGTTGCTTGTCTCTATGGAGATAGATAAATTTAATGTTAAATAGTTGATTGCACATGACAAATCCATAATCTCTAATCCAAAACCATTCATTTTGTCTTAACAACAGCAGATATAGGACATGTCACCAGTGACAGTTAGTCACTGTAGTAGGCTTACAGCTAGCAGCCGAAAAATCTCAACAAGTTAAATACACCTCCTACCGTATTGTTTTTAAAAAAGAACCCAAGTTAATGAGACCTTCCACAATAAAAGTTACATAGTGCAACTTTACATAAGGAAGGAAAGATATGATGAAACTGTCAGTATACTAATAAAGTACATCCAAGCACAGATAAGAAAAAGGGCCATTGCAAAACTTGTAAAAGTCAGGTAAGGTAGAACGTATAGTCCGTGTGTGGAAAAGTGTCATGCACATGTGACCCTTACTTCCAATTTTGGGATATTGTGTCATGAGCACTGGGCCTGGGACCAAGCCTCCATATTTGTGTCACCATCTTGGTCAGCAGTTCTGTGGACGACTAATTAGTGGAGGAAGAATTTGACCTTTTTTAAAGAGAAAGTGGAGCAACAACAGAAATAGGGACAACATGCAAACTCCACAACTTTCTTTAATATCCAACACACACACACACAAACACACATGCACACAAACACACATACACATGGTTGGTCATAATTATCAACAACATCATTATTGTTATATTTCAGTCATTTCATTTTAGATAAAAACATTTATATTACAAGCTTCGGTTGTTAACAAACTAACTGCAAGTTTGTTAAAAAGCTGCACCTCTAATGTGCCAGGGTACTTAGCCTTCTATGTAATGTGTGTGTAGCCATAGCCAGCAGATCAGAGCCAGTTGGTCAGAGTTACTGGAGGTTGGCTGTGTTGAGTGTTGTTACTTTGCCCTAATGAGTCAGCAGCATTTAAGTTTTCCCAAGTCCAGACGTTGAGACGAAATGGAAAATGTGTGAAGCATTAGCAAAATAAATTTCCAGTTATAATAGAAATTTACTGTATGAGCTTTTCTCTGGGTTATGTATTATGAAAAACATAAGGAATTATTGGCATCATAGTGTACTGAGTGCCACTTGAGTACAAATTGAACTGTCGTTAGCTAATATCTCGTTCTCTTCTCCAGCCTGTGGTGACTTGGTTTGTTTGTGTTTGTTGCTTGGTAAGTCGTGTCCACAGGCTTAGTGAGACCTCCTCCATTAGAAACATCTGTGGGCTGCAGCTGTAGACAGGGTGATGAGAGCAGAATAGAAATCGAGAAAACCACAATAGCAATGCAATCAATTTAAATGAGAAACATCTAAATAGTTGGCAAATAATGTTGGGTTGTCAATACTAAAAGACCAATTTGTAAAAGAAAAGATATTTATTGTATGCGGTGAAGGATGTGTATCAACACAAATGTTTACTTTCACATAGAAATATGGTCTTAAACAAGACATACTGTGCTTGTGTCTGCTATATAGTTATAATCTATGACTCCTGTTAGCCATTATGTTATAATTTAGACCTATTAAAACTCAATATTGATCTAAAAAGGACTTAATAAAATAAACAAGTCCGCTGACTTCCCTGTTAAAAAGCTGTGGTGCCCAGTGGGAGCTGATGTCACCGTGAACACAAACACAACAAAGAACTTATCGGCTCCTTCAATAAGTGCTGCACATCACGCTAGCAAGACACAGGCTTTTTTCATTTGCACTAAAATGACCACAAGACGCTGCTAAATACTACATGTATCACAGACACAGAAAATAAAGTTGGACAACAAAGTGAGTACAGAGCAGTGGGCGTGTGCTGGTGGTGTTGACAACAGGGGATGATCAGTGAAATTACATCTTAAAAATAAGGGATTAAAGATTGCTCAAACATGCATGAATCACTCTAAATACCACTTTGGGTAAGTAAATGGCGAGGGGAAAAAACTATAACATGGTTAAAAACTCTGAAAAGTTGATGTTGCATAATAAGTCTGCTTTATGAGGTTTGCTAATGCTTCCTCAAACACAACTAATACTTTACTATGAATATTTCTACCATTACGGCTACTCAATAAACTGTAAATAATGCTGTCAGTAAGTGTAACTACTAAAGTATCATTACTCCTATTACTTTAACACTAAAGCTGTCTATTGCTACCAAACACAAAACCTTTACTAAGTGGCACAAAAAATGTCATGTAGCAAAGTATGAACAATAGAAAAGCACAATTAATATTAAATGCTGTTTTATTGAGAATTATAGTTTTCTTATATTGAACAGCTAAAAGAGACTCAACAAAAATAAAGTGAAGAGCAGCAACAGAAAACAATCTCTCACGTCAATCAAATATTACGTATAAATATAGGACCAAAACAAAACTCCAGTGTATAGCATAAAAAAATCATTTCGTCTGTAATATAGTACTTAAAGAGTAACAGGCCAAATGCTACTGCATCAACAATGTGAAACATAAATCTCCTCATGCCATTGGCTAAAGACATGACTGGCACCACTGTATCTAAATATGCACCTCCTACTGTATCTCAATAGCACATGTAGCTGTGGAGTTGTGTAGTGTGATGTCATGGGTCCTAACATCCATAAACAGAAAGAGCAGAGATTTGGGCTAAAGGTGCTGTACCTGAAACCTACGGGCTTAAAAACATGAAAACAAACAAAACTAGTGCATATTATACTCTTATGCAGTGGTCCAAAATTATTCCTCACTTTCCTAACGCATTGCTAGCATCCTAATTATCCTCTAACAACTATCACGCTAACAGCCCACCAGTACTAATTCCTGATTCGTAGAGGATAAGAACACTTTATAATTAGATGCACAAAGTGGTCTTATTTTGACTGCAAGAGCTGCCTTAACAATATATCTGTACCACTGGAAATATAATATTTATCTTTTGTGTATCCATGAGGTATAAGTGATACAGCTAAACATTCTATCTAAATCATAAGTTTTCAAAATGATGTCCATAACAGGAAAAGGTCTAGGGACTGAAATCCTGAACACTATTTTGGAAAGCAATATGATAATGTATGTCTAAAAGTGCACACAAATGGCATTTACCACTCAAAAAAAGAAGCTGAAATTCCACTGGACCCGGAAGTAGAGTTTTGACATCATCGCAGTACAACTCCAAAGGCTGATCTACAGAACTGAGACAGCATTAACATTAAACAACATCTTTCAAATACAAAACAAGTGAAGAGAATAGGAACAGTAGCCATGTTAACCCATAATGGTTCCACTTGTGTTACAATTCGATGAGAGTGTCTGTGCCGGGGAAGTCTGGGAGATTGAGCTCATATTTTTTCTGGATGTCGTACGGCAGGAAGCGTCCGGCCAAGTAATGCTTCCCCGAGAAACTGGCAGCACACTTTTTGGGTGCTGTGAGCGAGATGAGGACTTCAGGGTGAATGCCGTCTTGGGTGGCCTCCTCTTCATCCCAACCTGGAACAACAAAGATAGAGCATTTATTTTTATGTACCCTGTAGCCTGATATCAGGTAGTTTGCAGACAACACTGGAGACACAATGAAGACCAAAAAGGCTGCACTCAACGATAGCTACAGAAACATTAAAGGTGCACTAAAGGAGCACTCTGCTACTTGCTTGTCTCATTGGAAATGTTATTGCTTTGCCACTCAACAGATTTGACCAGTATCTCTGCCTGGTAATATCATGTGCTTGTCTCCATGGAGATAGATACATTTAATCTTATACCAAGAAAAATTCCTGGAAAAACAATAGCATCTTGGACAAAAGATGTTAGTACACTTTACACAACACATAGAGGCTGGCAATATAGATGACACAATAATTAAATCTTTTCTGGAAATGTAATACCAAAATGTTGCAGTTAAAATAAGCAGCAAAATACATAAACACACATAAATTAGATAGTAATGTATTTAGGGGTACACATTTGTTTTCATCGATCTGTATACTTTTCTACATCTACATCTTCAAGAATATAATAAACCAGACCAGGATTTGAAATGAGTTCATAAAGAGGAGTCCAGAGGTGCCAAACACAGGCAGCATCAGCAGAATGTAGTGTGGCGGAGGCGGCATTTGAATCAAGGGCTTTTGATGAATTCACACAGCACTGACTCAAGCACAAGATTTATCTCCACATGTCCAAACTCCTCTCTCCATTTGGCCGGCACTCACAGGGAGCCACCCAAAGGCCCATAGATCACATTTGAAAAGCTTTTCTTACCTGAAGGCACGTCCACACTGGCTATAGGAATCTTCACTTGCTTCAGAGTACCCAGAATGCCAGAGTAGGGCTCCTTAATGTTGCCTATGTCTGACTCCGGGCCCAGCATTGCATCAATCACTAGGTTATAGGCATCATTTATGAGCTGCACCTGAACACAACAGAAGAGGTTTACAGTATCTATTCAATATTCAAAAGGTTTTCACAGTGACTTACGATGTAATATTGTTCAAATGACATGGATTAATGATATGCAGTATGAATAATATAAGCTTTGAAATCAATAGCTTTTTCAGTGGAGAATACAGTTGAAATAGGTGGCTGTCGTCCTCTGCTGACAACAGTAGAGAATAGAGCATATTGAAATGTGTAATTAAAATACTGCTATGACCTTGAATGTTCCACAGGATGGCATTGAACTCATCTGTCTCTGCAGAGACAAGCATGTGAGGTCATAGATCAGATCTGTTGAGAGGAGAACCGCACACTAATTCATGTTATTTAAGGAATTTCTGAGCAATAAAAACACACGTAATTGATCAACTCCAAGGCGGATATGTTTAATGTCATATTGTGGAACACTTTAGGCAATGAAATAACCTCTTTATAGAGACAGCGACTTTATGGAGCAGATGACATACTCTCCATCATAAAAGTTACATAGAGCACCTTTAAGCCTTGGAATTATGAGAGTGCAGTAAAATAAACATAAAAGACTTCCTGGTGTCAAGTGTAGAGGGCTGAAAGCTGTTTATGTTTGTTCAGTTCTGTTCTGTATGTCTGTTTGTTCAGAAATGTATTTAAAACAACAAATGAGCTTGGATATTTGGCAGTGCAGAAAACCGCAAAATGGTAATCACGAGCATCAACAAGTTTCTGAAACACTGCAGGCCACTGTTCAGAGAAGAACAAACAAGACTATCCATCTGTAAAAATGAATTGAACCCAGACTTTTTCCCATCAAAAACAAGTCTATGCAGCTCCTGACCTCCGTGGGCAGGTATGACAGGAAGGGAATGTCCATCTTCTCACACTGCACCGTGAAGTCTTGGTGGAGGCTCTGGGATGACCTCTTGGGATGGTAGATGGTGGGCTCATATTCCTGAGTGAAAGGAGACAGAAAATACAGGTTACATAATGAGCAGACTGATATTAAAATGATGGAGTGTGCTTGAGGGCTTGTGTACTTTGGGCTGGCAGTGCGTGACATGTTACACACCGCTGATCACAACTTGTGGTTTCCCAGACGGCTCCCTGAATGAATACTTCCCCTTATAAAAATGGGAGCAGAGGAGAGTGGAAATCCAGACCGGAGCTGTCTGAGTAGAGATGCTCAGCAGGAAGCACCTGTGATCTATGACCTTGTACCAACACTTTACAGCTCAAGACCTCCTTTAAAAATTATGTGCATTCAACTCTGCATCCTGATTAATTTGTGGCAATGTAAGGGTCACGTGGGGTCAGAAGTTAAGGGTCAGGGGTGAGGTACACATACAGGGACAAAAAAAATGGGTTTAATATAGTTCAAAGCTAATACTCTCTCTTTGTCTTTCTCAAGATTACGTCATTTTAATAGTACAGGTTACGATAACAAAGACATTGCATTATATTGTTTCAGAAAACATTGCAATAAATGAACATTTTGAAGACCACTTAATGATGATTTAAACCCGGAGCATGAAAAACTCAGTGAACTATTTCCTTGTCTGACAGCATACAGTATTAAATGGAAAACAGCTATCATAGTGTACTGGCAACTTAATAATGGAGCCAATACGGTAAGGTTTGAATTGGCATGTAACATGTATACAGTAGGCCTGTCATAATAAATACTATATCGGCTTATCGTTCAAAACATGATAGATGGAACAATAATTTTCAATATTTATCGTGGATACTTTTTCTTTGTACTTGTGGGAAACTGTTGGTTATTTTTCTGAACTATGATGAGATTTGAGCTGTTGGAGGGTTGAATAAATAACTTGACTGACTCATTATAGATACACACTAACTACTTAAACGTTACATTCTGTTATTTGTTTGTTGCAGCTCATATTTTGAACAATATTTACAGCATTTAGACTACTTTAGAGTGCTTTATGGTTTGGTTTCAATATTATCTTTTATCGCCTATATTTACTTCAACAACATACCACACTTCAAAATTTGTTATTGTGACAGGCCTAGTATACAGTGTATATATGTACATAAACATGCCCCAACTGATACTCCTTTTTTTTTGTTTTCTTTAGCCTAGTGTTAGTTTTACAATTATCCTGAAACACCAGAGACCGTATGATCCAGCACTTTGTGGTCAACGACAAGACCAGATGCTTGACCAGATATCTGGGTTTTGTCATGGCTTTGTTTTCACTTCTCAACATACACGGTTAATTTGACTTGCAAATGATGAAATAAAGTAAGCAATGTCAAATTACCCTGGAATTAAGGAATTTATTCAACTTAAAATCAACAGCTTTGTGGTAGGGTAGTCAAAGTATGGCCCGTCAGTGAATCTCTTTTTGTACCTGGTGTAAATCAAGAATCTGCTCAACACAAAGTAGTTGACCTGTGAGAAAGGCTCTTAATCACTTAAGCAGAAAGACCACTCTCTTTGTGTAGTCTGTGTTTCAGACTAAAACAATGACTTATGCAAAGGACTTGACATTTTAACAGTGAAGATTTATGAATTGAGGTAAGGTTTACAATGTTATAGCTCTTATGTCTTGATAAAATAAATATGTTACATAGTGGAGTCAGACAAGAGCCTTAGAAAGTTTAACATTCAGATTAAAATAAATATGAACTTATGCAACATTTCCATGGGTTTCAGAGTGATGAACAATTTTCACCAGAGCCATAGAAATTAAGAATTTAAAATAAACACATTATATGTTTTGAATGGCCAAAAGTTCTCAAAAGGTGACTATTAAACAGGAAAATAAACTTTTTTTTCAATTTTATGATTTGTGCCTACATTTACAAATAGCCCATAAAGAGCAGGTATAGCTATTTATAGCAGCTATTTTAATTGGACTGTTGCTCAGAAGTATTTGAGTAAAATCAAAATGGAGTTGATGTTGGACTGTGATTTTGGAGTATATTTTGTAACTCCATCTTTGGGCTTTCAACGAGTCTTGCTCTTCCTGTGGTCCTGGGACAGTCTCTGGCTTGGGCCTTGACCAACTCTAACTCCCATGGCCCTCTGCAGTGACAGATCTGACTCCAGTCGTCTGCACATCCCTCTGGACCTGTCCTGGGCTCATTGGGTCCAAGTCCAGTGTGACTAGAGCAGGACTTGTGTGAAGCTGTCAGTATCCGTAAACATAAATGAGCTGTGAGTTAATGGCCTGGCACTTCTCTCCCCACGGCCCTGTGTTGTCTTGTATATGGTGTTTATTTTCACAGTCTATTAGAGCTGATGGGATGAGTAAGTATGTCTGTTACTGCGATCATGAGCCATTCTGCCTTCTGTCAATCATGGCTTTTCATTCATGTCTTGTCTGCCCGGCCTGTGTACAAAGGATAAAATCATGCTGTTTTAATATGGACAATGCAGTGGAGTTAATTGGAGGAAGATTTTTGACCATGGTTCAACATCAGCTTTGATCAAAGGATGTCTTCACTGTGGGAATAATCAGTCTGATGATTTCCCTGTGTTATAGACATTCCAAAAACATGTTTTGAGTTGTTCCAAGACCCTTACCTTTTTGTGATGTGATGTCATGTAACTCGCTACCTTTGAGGTGCACTCAAATTTCCAAGAAATATACAAGAAATATGGACTATTTGTAATTTCTTTGAATCATTATTTACAGAGCCCTCAAAGGGACATGATGAGAAAAACATAAATATTATTTATTTGCAGGCCCGCAAAATCTTGCAATACCTGTGCTGTGTTCTGCACATATAGTTAGAATAGCTCTGCAGGTCATTGTCCAGCCTGACTTATTTTATAGTACAAAGCACCGTTTACTAACATTTATTGGCATTTTAGAGGTGAATTAGTTATTTAATCATATCAAAGCAGAAACTCTTATAACAAATAAATAATAAGAAAGCTCACTAAAAAGAGGACTTCATTTGTGAAGGAATAACCAGGGAACGATAAAAACTGTTCCAGAGAGTTAGCAACACAAAACATGGCTATCTGTCCATCTCAGTCACCCGTAAATTGCTGCTCTTCAGACGATGGACATGTCTGAGACATGACATGAGCGTGCGTTAAGCCTTTATGCTCTGTCTAGTCCCATCCACAGCTCCCAGTCTGTCCCGGGGCCGTGTGTGGGTCATGTGGACCAGTGCATGTCCTGATACTGACAGGGATCACACGACACCCTGAAAACATGGAGTGCACCCATGGGACACCCTTCACACAACACACACATAGGGATTTAAGACTATGATTACCTCACTAATGTCACATGCAGATACAAGATACAAGATATTTAGTCAGAAAACTCTGTACAAATCTGACTGAAGTAGTTGTGGTATTGTTTATAATGTATAAAAAAGTAGATGATTATTTACAAAAATATTTTTCTTTGAACTGAATTTAGCAAAATATGATGAAAAATAAAGACATATTGAATACTAAAAAGCAGAATATAATAGCAAGTGAGGCTTGAAGCTTGATGGTACAACATAAACTGTCTCTTACTTTGATCATTCTGGTCATTTCTAAACATTTGAAAACATATTTTAAATGTTACACGTAGCTCATGAAATGATTTAAAATGTGTAGTGTGTCTAGATAATGAGCTACTGGTGAGTGTGTCAGTGTGGTCATGGTTTGGAGAACTGGCAGGAGCAATAACCAGCTAAAAGCTGAAAAAGCACTTTTTACCAACAAAAGTTCAATCTATAGAGACATCTACACAGGCATATCCTCTGTCACAGTTACCAATTAAGTATATTTGTGTTCAGATAAATGATGAGGAAATGACATTTGTGTATAATGTTTTTAAAACTGCACTGACCAAAAAGACTCCTGACCAAGAAGTGAGTCAACACTGGTGAATGCATTTTTATTTGGAAAAAGTTGGAAGTCCACACTCCACTGAGGGGGTAATTGTTTCTTTATATTTATTATTTCTTAGTGGAATTTATTCATCAATACAATTACTAATATCTATAATACTGTCATAACTGTCTGCCTTTTTTTTATATCTGCTGAAGTTAACTAGTCTCTGAGCAACAGAAAACCAAACTCTTCATGATAGGGCCAATATAGATTTGCCAAATCCTCTAACACGTGCAGAGATTGTTTGCCAAACTAGGGATCAAACAGCTCCTCCATCTTTTACTTCATATTACCAGAGAAAATGAGTAGTTAAATGAATGTCCAAAATGCCTGGGCTATATTCCAGAGACCAACCAACAGCAACTAGCTTAAGACAATTTTAGCCTGCATTATTAGAAAAGAATGGCACTGGAATTACTTTGCAATGACAAAACTATGTCTTGGTGAGTCTTAATGATAATGACTAAAACACAGGCAGTAAACTATTTCAACCCATTAATGAAACCAAAGACATTAGTAACAGTAGCATTGTGGGTAGACCTCCTGGTAGGCACATAAACTCTTGCACCACCTTATATGCACTTATTCCACATAAAAACACTGGTATATCCTTTCCAATGATAGGTTTGGGTTACTGTAAATGTTAACCAAAAGATTATGTAAGTTGGAAGTTTGGTTGAAATCTACCGAGGCCCATTTGTTCATGTGGTTTGGAGACTTTATAAACATGGCTGAATTTGAGAAGTGAAATATTGCCTTCTGAGCTCATCCTTGACCTCACTAGAAGCCGGCCAGCCCAGCCAGACCTCCTGCCCCATGGTTTCAATATAAACTAAGCTACGTTTGTAAATCTACTGTGTCAGTCGCATATGGTAAAGTGTAGCAATGCATTCCCGTCTAGAGCAAAGATCCAACGTTTCCTCTTCACGATAAAGTCATTGTCTGGAGCAGTAAACTCAGAATCAGACTCTAATGTCTAAACAAATACAGTTTACACCATGTCTAATGTATCAAGACAGAAAAGCTGCGCCTCCAAAAGCAATTTGTCAGTCAGCATGTGGCCAGAAGGGGGCACACAGCAGGATAATGACATAATGCTATATCAAGGAAAGCTGAGAATAAGACGTATGTGGTTTTAACAGTGAATATTTTGGAGTGATATCATGACGAAGAACCCGTACGGAGAGAGAAATAGGATAACGTTTTCTGTGGCGTCAACAGGAGCTTCTCTGAAATTCGATCACAAAGGAAGAGAGGACAAAGAAACCAGCAAGACTTTTCAAGATTGTTTTTTCCCTTTTAGTGACACTGGATAGCTGTGATTTACGACTGTTTTCAACTTTGATTCAAGCCATCATATTTTTTCCCAATGTGTTTTTGTCATCCTCAGTGCACCATAACACTAAGCAATAAATTACATTGGCGTGGAATAATACCATAGGTTTTAGCCTATTTTATTTTTTACAGCCTATTTTTACAGCCTTTTCATGACAGCTACTGCGCACTGTTTGGGACAAGAGTGTATCAGATTTTCAGATGCAGAAATCATTAAAGCTCTGGACAAAAGTGAGCTCAACTGTGAGAAGAACATATTATTACCATGCACTTTTACGGGAAGCAGTGTGGATAGCACAGTTGCTAGACAAATATAAAAAAAAACAAAAAACTATGCAATCTATTCTTAGAAATTATGTTTAGTTTAGTTTTTTTAATTATTTGTAATTAATTTAAAGGTGCATCATGTAACTTTTCTGGTGTAGGGTCCATCACCGGCTTATCTCCATGATGTTACAAGATGTGACAAGTAGATGATGCCAGTTGGCCAAGTTACAAGTTTCATTTGTGAAAAAGGCAACCCCACTGTCAGTATGACGGCCTGTTTATGCTTGTGGGTAAAAGCGACAAAATATTTTATCGTAAGTGCCTTTCGTTTAGATGGCGACGGCCTTTTGGGGGCTCAAAAATGCAAAAATCTGAAACCACCCTCCCGAGTGGAAAAGTTAAATACGCTCCATCATAACATTTCCATCTACACTGCCCAACATGCAAAACTTTGGTCAGATCTGCTCACGTTGCATATGCGTTTACGTCACATACATACAGTACACAGAAACAAACGTGTCAGATGGCATGCACACCCAATCGAATTCCACACACTTTTGTGACATCGTATGTACCCAGATTTCCTCCCTAAAACACTCATCTAAATGCGGAATATAAAGTGAAGACGCGACGCCACTTTTGCGTCTTCTGTTCAGACCGTCATCGTATAAAAGTAGCCTGAATGCATGTTTTTCAAGATATGTTTGAGCAGTTGAATAAACGCTAGACAGAGGCAGAGGAACAAGATCACATAGTGCACTTTTTAAGTATTTTAGCTGTATAGATATTATGACTCAATCACAGGTTCTTAGTCCAACGCTTTAGTTTGTCAGTGAATTGGCATGGTCATCTATCTCAGAAGCTTATGAAACTGAGCTATAATCTCAAAGGTTAGCTGTGAAATCACTTAGGACATTTGACTTTGAGCCACTGTTCCTTGAGCCAACCCGCACTTCCATACGGCGCTCCAAGATAGCCCTTTCGTAACACCTCAAGCTGCGGTCAATGGCTGTGATCAGTGCTCTCTGCTTTTCAAGTGGTTTACTCACAAATATGCGCAGGTGTCTGGCACAAACCAGGCCGATGGAGCCATTTTGATCTGGGCCACAAATCACCAGGACTGTTGGCTGCTTCTTCGATAGAGAGCTCAGAGGATAAGCCTGAGGGAGAGAGGAGAAAGGGGTTTAGAGTGGACTGGAGAGGGTGTTAAAATATGAACACATAACAGAGTACCACCATTCCACTGAGCTGACCTGTAGCTTTGCCAGTTGCTTGTCTCCATGGAGGTATAGAGAAGTTTAATGTCACACTATGGAACATTTCAAACAAAGCAATAAAATCTCCACAAAGACAAGCACCATTATAAATAGGTTTACGGATTATTCATATACCATGCATGAGTACAAGACATGTAGCATCCTTTAAGGTAGAGTGGTTTTCATGTATGTTCCTGTACCAACTTCACTACTGCCTTTCTTATTGTCTATAGTCCTCCTAAATATGCGCGTGAGTTGAAGAAATTTGACCCACACTGGCCTGGGACGGTGGTCGGGACAGGCTAAACTCAGATTAAACAGCAGACATTTCTTATTTTTATTCCAGAGATTCTAGTTGGTTTCAGGGCATTTCATTGCTGTGGGTGTCCAGACTGCCACATGCCAAACATGCCAGACAGGGGTGGAAATGGCATCATTACTGCTGTCTATAGGAAACTCCAGTGCCATTAAAATAGGCTTCTCACTGGTGGAAAAATGCCGATGTTCTCACCATGGGATGCTTCTGTATATATAGTCTGCTCCAAGCTGTTGGCATGGGCCATGTTTGTGCAAAACACAAACCCCAGTAAATCAGTCCACACCATTTTAAACAGATATCCACCTGCAGAGCCTGACTGTGAGAGCTAATGGGCTATCACTATGGTAACAGATTCACTACAGTTTCATACATATATAGTCCTACTTTCAAATTTATGGGCAAATATTAGATTAATTGCGCTGTCAAATTAATCTAACCTAAGATAACTATTTAATATTGAAACCATTAAATATTTGGTTGCTTTATGCTCAAAACATTCAAATAATTTATGTTTTGAAATTATATCATACCAGTTATAAAAGTAATGTTGGCATTAGAAATAAATGTTTTTTTTTCTTTCTGTATTAATTTTGCATATATTTCTGCAAGTGAAATTGCATAGACTTTAGAAAAATAAGTTTAAAAAAATTATTATTATTACCTAGAGCCCTGTTTGAAACTACTTTTCCATTTCTAAAGGTCACAGCATAATTTCTCTAAACCACAGGACACAGATGAAATGATGAGACAGTTATCCTGCCCAATTACAGCCCAATAAAAGTGTGTCAAAACACCAGTCGTAACAGCAATTAGCGGAGTTTCAGAACACCATAAATACAGTCTGACACTTACTGTTGAGACGGCAGCTCAAACATTACACCGAAGCGTTTACTAATTATAGAGGGCGTAAAGTCACTGCAGGATAAGACGTCGACGGACTGAAATTAAGATGACTTTTGACATTTAGCTGAAAGAATTTGGATCATGCCATTGAGTTACATAAAGGACTTGAATAATACATCATCTATGTGGTGCATATATGGTGTAAAATACAGAGCACAAACCTTCCATTTCATTAAATTTTATTCACATGACCATATCCACGGCATGTAGTATAAACATAAACATATCCATTCATGAGAAAATATCATATAATTTAATCACCCCTAAAATTTACAGACAGAACTAAATGCCTTGCAAAAATGTCAGTACCAATGTGTCTTTTGTAGAAATAAATGATGAAGCCCAAGTGTTGCAAAGAGAAGTGACACTGGATGGCCTGAAGGATGAAGAGTGCTTCCATTGTAGGGAGCATTATAACCTCTAATGACATAGTTCAGGGTTCTATCTGCATAGAAATATGAACAAGGTTCGAGCTGCAGGTGTTTGGATACAACAAGCAAGTATATGCTCAGTCTTGAGAAATAACAAGATACGTACAAGATTACAACTTTATTCCTCAGATTTGATTATTTCTGTGTAACAATATTTAATCACTACTAAAATCTTTTTTTTTAACACTTGCCTAAAATTGCCCAGTACTCTACCTCATACAGTGATCTCCAAAATTATGAGTACCATTAACATATATTAAAGCTGTAATAGTAATAATCCAAATGGGAGACCTAAGCTTTTATTGGCCGAGTAAGATCTTCCTACTATTATAGGCTGTAACTGTACACTATTAAGCATCAATTTTACAATGTGCCATAAACTAAATGATGTGTTGTAGATATGATAATACCTTTCCTGTCTGGCTCTTGCTTGCATAAAACAGCTCTATTTTCATTTTTGCTAATGTATTCATGACAGGAGTAGCGTCACATGGATAAACAGGCTGTTCCTGCGCTGTTTAACTGAATCCAGTGCATCTAAAAGCACATTAACAGCAGTAATCGTACAGGGAGCCTAGCCTAAGAGCTCAACCATCTAAGTTTATGAATGAGATGGAGAGTTATAGGCACTGTGGGCTGAAGCAGCACGTATAGAATACATAATGATATTGAAAACAGAGAACCAAGAGAGGGTTTGAGAGAGCTGGGATATAAGAGGCATAAAAGCAGTCCAAAGCTTTTCATTTCCATAAATAATGAGACTCTGGGTCCATGTGGTCGACAACTGATAAGTTTGAGAAAGTTTCCAACAGCAGAACAATATGTTATGAATCTCCATTCTGTGATTTAATCTAATGATTAATTAACTGGGCAAATCTTTCAATAGGTTGTAGACACAGACTTCTAAAAGTCTGAATGTTGGAAGTGCTGTGTAAAGTTTCCTATTATGCCAGAGTCATTTAGCATTTTGTCTTTACTTTTGTTTTTCCCCAATGTATCCGAGTTTGAAGGAGAGGGATGTTTTTTCCAAGAAAATGCTTGGCACTGAGACTGGCATAGAGCACATGTGACACAAAGATGAATTCATCTTTGAAAACAGACAGTGCTAACCACTCTGCCAGTCCATCACTTGCTCAAGGTATGATGAGCTCAAGGTATGATGAGCAGTTGTGGAAGAAGTATGCAATTTTGTTACTATCAAAAAATCTACTCAAGTACAAGTATTATAGCACCAATTAAAAACAAAAACAAAACAAACAAAAAAACGTAATAATAAAAAGTAAAAATATTTCGCACAGATTTTGAGGTCTTATAATATCTTCAAATGTAGTGATTTTGATACAGATTTGTGCTGAATTTTGTTCAGTAGAAACAAATGAATTTCTATTTTTTTACATCAGTTTTTCTTTGTATATTTTAGTTTGTTCAAACTATGAACTTGGTTTAAAAATAAACCCTCAGCCTTTTCAGCAGCTCTCACACTATAATAAAAATACTTTCACTTTTCAGTGCTGTTCAAAAATGTAGTGGAGTAGAAAGTACAGATTCCTGCTCTCAAACAGTGAAGTAAAAGTAAAAGGTGTCCATTTTAAATGCACTTTAATAAAGTACAGATAAATAAGTACATAATATAATATCAAAAATCACCCAAAGTGACACTGTGACAACTGTTAACAGATGGTATTTGATTCAGCCTAGGTTTAGCTCAGGTCAATATGACGAATTTGACTTTGGGATAATAAGTACAACATGTTGCAATGTGAACCTATTTACAATAAATTCTGGAGCCCACAAAACAGCACGAGTCCTGACATTTGCTGGGGTAAAACTGGTCCAATCCATCTTAAGAGTGGTGCTGGTGCAATGTTTGGGAACGTGGATAGGTTAGGTTATGGAAACCCAAATACAACACCTTTTCCAGTACTAGTGCACACATTCATTTGGTCAGTGTAATGTTAGAAGACCTGCTGTGGGCCTTTCACACTTCACAAATACAGCTGTGTTGATTGTAATAGGGCCTCGAAGGAGATGGCTCTTTGAAATGAATGGTTAAGGCACATAAGCTTTCACCTCTAATCAGTCTGAAAACACAGACCCAGACTGACAAATATGAGCAGGGTCCCAAGAGAGTAAATAGAGACTAGAGGGGTTATAGTAGGGCTGCTACAAATTCACGACTTTGTGGCAGAAATGTGGTAGAGCTGGATATTCAGTACAGTCATCATTTTAAATATTTTATTTATTTATTTATGAGGTATAAAAAAATAAAATCATAAAAAAAAAAATCAATATTTAACTTATAAAAACTTATTTTACTGATCAGAGTAAGAAAGGATAGTAAAATATCACACTCTGTTTTCATAGAACCAGAGTTACATTAAAGAACCTCTGAAGTTGATGATCCATTAGGGGTAGAAATTAGTGTTCTCAAAAATATAATTACCCAAATATTAATCAATACTAAAAGTGAGTAAGTAAATATGTTTTTATTTATATAGCACTTTTCACAGACTTATATCACAAAAACGCTTTACAGAGCATTATTCAGTAACTCCATACCTGGTGGTAGTAAGTTACTATTGTAGCCACAGCTGCCCTGGGGCAAACTGACTGAAGCGAGACTGCCAATCTGCACCATTGATCCCTCTGACCACCACCATCACTCACGCACATGCCACTTTCATACTAGGCAATATGAGTGAAGCGTCTTGCCTAAGGACACAATTACTTTTTTTGTTTTTGTGGCTGGCGTCCCACTGTGGCACCTGATTTTCCCAGGTCTCTCTTTCAAGTACTAACCAGGCCCAGCCTTGCTTAGCTTCTGAGATCTGATGGGATCAGGCTTTGACAAGCCGGTATGGCCGCAAAGTAGAGCTGATACTACTTATCTGAACATATTCACACAAATAAGACAAAATTAGACTTTTCCAGGATAGTTTCTGAATATCCCTGATCTATAATAAAACTTGTAATGCAACATTGAAATATAACACAATAAAAAATACAATTATTTTTGGTTAAATTATATCCTACCTAAAAACGGAAGTATTTATCATCACTGTGGTATGAAATTGATTTAGAACTTTTTCTTACCATCAAAACCAAGTTTGAAATGTTTGTATTGAGACTACTCTAGTAGCAATGGCAGCCTAGAAGTTAGTGATGACAGAATAGTGACAAGAGTAGTGGTATTATAGTGGGAATGATTAGTAGAAGTAGTGATAAAACAAAGTGGGAGTAGTTGACATAATATTTGTAGTAGCTAGAAATACTTAATAAAACAATATATTTTTTTCCTCAGGCTTTGGAGTACCTCTGCTGCTGCTGTAACAAAAGCCTCCCCTGTGCACAGTCAGGTGTTGAAAAGACTGATAGCCCCACACAGGCTCGCGTCTGGACCACTGCAGCCTGCACTACAGATCACTTACAGAAAACCTATAATCTGACTGGCAGCTGAGGGGTCCCAGTACCGCTAAATGAATAAGCGTTTGTCTCTGTGGTATATTTGGAGTCGGAGCTCGTGCCAGTACTAAGTTCAGTGCTAACATACTGTCTGCATCCCTTGTAAGCTAACTGTAATTTTCCTTAAATAGCAGTGATGTCATGGGGCCGTCACATGTCAGCGGTAGCAGGGCACGGGGGTTGTGGGTAGATCCAGGAGCCCACGGTGTGCAGGGAAGAGGTCATGCTGTTTGGGTAATCATAATGTTTAGAGAGGAAGTAGATGTGGTGGAGGTAATCTTCTACTGCCACTCTGTCAGTCACCCATGCTAAGGTAATCTATTTCCCATTTGGCTAAACTGCGGTTGATAGTATCTGTACGAACTGACTTCGGTTCAAAGAGTGAGATTGAACTTTTTATGTGGGTTTCTCCTGTAAGCCAACCAAACTGCTATTAAATCAGCAAATGTATTTGCTGTTGCAACGGGAAGTGCAAATGATATTAAATTGTATTGTTTTTTTGTATTGTTGTTGTTGTTGTTGTTGTTGTTGTTTTTGTTGCTAAACCTTCTCCGCGAGGCTAGCTTGTATGATTCACTTATGAATCTAGGGAAAAGATATTACTGTAAATGCAAAACTATAGGTGCGCTATGTAACTTTTCAGGTGGAGGCTCCCAACTGAACAACATAATATATCCATCTTACTTTTATTCATTCACAGTGTTTAAATTCCTGAATAATATGTTGAAAAACATTGTGAGGTGGGTTGCCTCTCCAGAGATGTGGCTTGTCTCTATGGAAATAGATAAATTTAACATTACAACTTAAACATATTGTGGAACATTCCAGACAAAGCCTTAATATCTCCATGGAGACAGGCAGGTGACGGACCCTTCACCAGAAAGATACATAGTGCACCTTTAAAGGCAGAATTTTGGATATAGGACTTCATTCCTAATTAGCCAGAGTGTTGGAGACATGTGGAGACACTTTTTAAAATATTCCATCCATTTCTTGTATTTGCAGAGGTCACTGGTGCTAGGCTAGTGCATGTCAATGGCCATAGTTAGCCTGTCACTAAAAACAGTCTTACCCACTCCACAAAGCAGCTGAAGCAAATCTATTATTACACTAGACTGTCGATGTAAATGTCTGTGTTGATAGAATATTGTTTAAAATAAAAATAACCTTGCATCGCATGAATCGTCGCATGTTGAGGGATTATTTTCTCAGCAACAGCGGAATTTTACTTTGCTGGTAAGATAGGTGCTCAGTGATATCAGTCCGCTAGGAAGTACAATTCGCTGCTGCTGCTCAAACATAAATCCTCCAAATGCAAGGTTGGTTTTACTTCTAAGATTACTCTATCGACACAGACATTCACAATTACAGTCTGGCATTATAACTGTTTTGCCTTTAAAAAAGAGTCTCCACATGTCTACAACCCTCTGGCTAACTAGGAAATGAGATCCTATGTCCAAAATTCTGGACTATCCCTTTAACAAACATAACTATGACGTTTTGCTTCGTTTTAGGCAGTTGATAAGTAGTTTTATTGTGAAACCATGTTGTTCCTACAATCATTTTCTTCCACTTGTAGGTGTGAATTCAGCTGCAAAGGCACACGCAATAATGACGAAATCTCTCCCTGAACCATGTTCTATTTAAAACAACATTTGTTCATTTTTCACCACTGAGAGCTGTATTCAAATCCTGGAAAAGCCCACACTGATATTAACACCTCGTAAAGCCAGCCTTACCTCAGCGTGCGATTACGCAGCAGATAAACACTAACAATGTTCATTTCTACTGCTCCTACCTTAGCACCTTGTGAATGCTTGTCCTCTGTAAGCCCCCTGTGCTAGAACTATGAACCCTGTCTGGGTATGTCATGCGGTCGGATTTGTAGGAAGTGTGGGATTTTTAAAAGTATCTTGAGGAGTATATAACTTTTATCAGCTCTTAGCACTTACAATGAAGTCAGTGAGATTAGTGGAGTGGAATGTTAAATTATCAGACAAAACACTTAAGGTTATATAACAATAATTTAATTAGATAACATACTTCAGTTGAAAAGTGAAACTACTTGTCTTGTTATTGTTATAGGAAAAGTTAGTAATGTAAAAAAAAAAAAAAAAGAAAGAAAGAAAAATTATTACATTTTCCCTAATGTAAAGGACATGAGCTATACAAAAGTGTGGAATCTTTAAAGGTGCACTATGTAACTTTTCTAATGGGGTGTCCATCACTTGCCTCCTTGTGATATTATTGCACTGTGGCCTGGAATGTTTCACAGTTTGGTTTTATACTCATCTGTGTTGTATCTATGAAATTTACTGCTCAAAAGTATCTTGGAAAAACATGTCTTTACTGCAAATGTGGTCGCCTCTCCGCAGATCCAACCTGTAACTTAAACTGATAGTGTCATCTGCTTTTCTCAATGGACATGTTATGAGACATGTTTAAAGCAACATTGACACCATGGAGTCAAGCAGGTAGCAGACCCTTCTCCAGAAAAGTTACACAGTGCACCTTTAACACTAATCACAGAACTGTATCTTCAAAGTATATTTTATTTGTTGGTATAATCAGTAACCTTTATATAATGGTGAAGACATGGAATTATTATTATTATTTTTTTTAATAAAAGTCTGCATTGGAACCATAGACATAGCTACCTGCTCTCTCTGTACTGCTGCTGACAGGCTCCTCATTTTGGTATTAAAATGTTTGTATTAACCCACTCTACATGATCCTGGTGTTTATATTTTGCTATTTTGTCCATCAGTCAATTCCTATTAATATAAACGATAGCCTCGATGAGCTTCATTTGACTGGACACGATGGGAGACATCACTTTCGCTTATTCTATCTATTTACACAGTTTATGATTGAAACTCAAATGGTTGTATTGGGTCCCAGGAGTTTGTTATCCAAGCCAATCTGAAAATGACATCCATAAAAATATTGCTGTATAATAAAGGAAGCTGTGGAGTCTGCCTTGTCCATTTGGGCTCTTGATCCCTGTCCACCCATCTGTCCCCTTCATCAGTGAGTGTTTTATAGAAGTGTGTGTGTCTGATGTCTCTTTCTCACCGCCGCTGAGCAGGGTCTCACGTGTCATGTCCGCCGTCACAGCCACTTCAAGGGATCTCAGAGGAAACCAGAGTGGCACTACAACCAACCGAGTAGTCTGTTCTCCCAGCCTGATCAGTTCCAGAGTATATGTAGTGCTTTCAGATGCTTCTGGACTTGGTTTTGGAGAAGTTTGTTGTGTTCAAGTAGAGATGACCTCAAATGTTTAGGAAGTGGATATTTGAGGAAGTTTTTGAGGAAGGCCTTTTTGCAAATAGGAACTGCTATCTTAGTGCAAATGAGCTGAGTCTAACCAGCAGCAGGTGTGGCGCTACATTTGTTTGCCATTTCTCACAGATCTGTTGGTGAGTTAGGGCTGTGGAATGAATGAATGTCATTTCTATAATTTATAATACATAATATGCTTGTGTCTTTTTGTATATTTGTGTAAAAAAGGTTACAGAGGGAGAAACTGAACTACTTATTTATACAGTGATTAATATTGAAGTAAACAAAATTAAATTGAAAATCATGATTCATCACTTTGTGGGGAAAAAAATTGTGACTAATCTTTTGTCATATTGCCTGATCCTATTGGCAGTTTTCATGGCATATTTTTTGGAAAAACAAAAATAATAAATGATGGGAGCTAAAGTGCAAGAAGTAAATGTTTCATATAAACCTGTACACTGCAAGGCACATGATTTACCGCCATGATGGAAAAGTTAAAAGGAAAAAAAAGAAAAAAACACTTCTCTCAAAATAACTTTTCTGTTTTCATACAAAAGGTTAAATCAACCAACATGAATCACGGCTGACAGTACTTTGTTCACAATGGTTCCTTTTATACAGCCCCAATTCAAATCTAAAAAACCTACGACAAATATTTCAATTTGGCTCAGATCAAAACCAATTTTTAATTTGATTTGAGCTACAAAATGATGAAAAAAAGAACCTGCAGCAAAAGTCAAATAATGTTAATGATATTTTTGAATTAATTACAAAGGTTTACATTTTAGTACACATGGTATTCCTGATACAATGGGCTATACTCTATATGTTTCCAAAGGTTACATATATTTTCATTTATATCTAAACGCTTTGGCTTTTGGCTTAGTCTTTTAGTGTTAAGTATTCATTTTTATAACAGCACTTTTTAACTGTGATCCAACATCCAACAATCAAAACAAACAATGCAAATATATAAATTCTGTTTGCCTCTTTGTGTTGTTTTTCTCAAAAGCAAAACTGAAAGACAGATGCACTGACCTTGGTGATGGCGAGGGCACAGGCCTGTCCCCAGATCTCTATGAGCTGCTGCTGTCCAAACCTGTAGTCCTTCAGCAGCTCTGTCTCTATGGCCGCGGCCTCCCCTTTACTACAACACAGAAAAACACACTGGTTTAGAACAAAGTAAAGTATGTTTAATATGCAAACAGCCACAAAGTCCTTACAATACCCTTACAAAGCTTAGGATGGATTTTACTCACTGTCAAACTAAACAACTGAAAAAGCAACCAACATACATGAATGTAAAGACATAAAGGTCACCAAAATTTTACTCTGAGGCAGTCATTTCTCTTATTCCTGGAATATTCTTGTAATATTGTGGGTGGTCAAAACAGCAGTTTTTCTCACTACTCCCTCTGCACTATCAATCATCCAAAGCACTGTAATGATATAAATAGACCCATTTTGCATCCTAACCCATATTCATTCTGTGTATGATGGCAAGAACCCACTTGTGTCTAGAACAGTCTGTACTAATAATTCAAGTACAAATGGCACATTATTAACAAGTCTATGAAGGAACTGTATAAATCCTCAAATCAAAACTTCGAAACAGCAAATGTCGACAGCTGTAGGGAACTTTGGTCATTAACATTAAACACATGGATCACTGTGTTGTCCAACGTAAATGTATGCATGCTCAACTGGCTCTGTAATGTTTTATAAATCACAAGCCAGGGACATAATGTTTACAATCTACTGTCTATGATAAATAACTCACATCATGTAGCTCTCAGCCTGGTGACTACTTCTTATCATGTAGCAAAGAAAGTACATGTCATTTGCAAGATGTTAACTTGCAACCAAAAGCAAGTATGAAGAAGTCAGAAGTGACCATTAATTAACAACATCAATAGAAATACTAGACTGACAACCAGACTTTTTTGTAATGTCATCCAAAATATGAAATGCATGTTATGGAAGAGTAAGTTAATTGGTTATTAAAGGTGCACTATGTTTTGGTTCAGGGTCCATCAACCACATGCTTCTAAGGATATGTCCTTGCCATAGATCTGACCTGTAACTTGGTCTGGTTTGGTCTCCATGAAGATAGAAAGGTTTAATACCATACTATGAAACATTTCCAGTCAAAGCAATGACATATCCATGGAGAAAAGTATTTGACGGGCACTCAACCGGGAAAGTTACACAGTGCACCTTTAACTTTACCTTGTAACTTTGTGTGTGTTAATATATATATTTACATTCAACTGGCAACGTCATCTGCTCACAAAAGTAGGCCAAGTAAAGTTGTGGAAGCAATGCATATTAGCTATTACACTACAGACATCTAGTGGCTTTTTACAGTACAACAGCTTGATTTAAAGGATGATGTAAGAAAGAAAAAAAGAAACTGATTGAATATGTATTTAGGATAGTTGCTGAGAGCTAACAATTGTGGTCTAGTAATACAAGGATTTTATATATTTATATATTTGGTTTAGAAGGAGCAGATCAAGAAAACAACAAGTAAAGGGTATTAAAATGTGACATTAAAAACATAGAGAATAGATCTTTTTTCAATAACCAATTACAGTGTACCTTTCTGTCTTTTGTTACCACACTACAATGCCTTTAATTAGTCTCATAATTGCGTAGTTACCCCAAGCCAGAAAACTCCAAAGAAAAACAATGGTAGGAGCATAAAGGCCTTTGTATGCTATGAATGAAGGCAGCTGATATCGCTTGTATGAGTGTTTGTATTTTTCATTAGGTTACATCATACAATGCTTTTGTTTCACCTGGAAGCTCGAGAAGATTCTGTCTGTGAAGTTCATGAGACCATAATGGATGCAGGGAATGAATATTGTGGATAGACTTTGTGCTTTGGACAATAAACTGTGACCCAGTTTAGTACAACAAGAGTCTGCTCTGGTTTAGGGTGGATAAAAGAAATTTTCTTCACAGACACATTTATCTTCTCTAGATGACAGCGTAACTAAAACTGCTTGTGATTCACTGGTGTTTGCTGTACAAGCCAAAGACAAGACAAAACCTAAGTTGAAAATAGGATCAACATGTGTTCAGATCCAGAACTATATCAACTCCTGGTTGTGATTTGGGGATAAAATGCAGAAATCCAAGAACGATTATGCAATAAAATAATACTTGGAAGTGTTAAACCTGTTCTGTCTGCATGACATCATAAAAACATTGGATTACTCCATAATAGTAAAAGGATCACTTGGTCTGTTTACAATTGTGTTGTTTCCAGATAGACACAGTCTTATACAAACAAATTCCTAAAATGTTACCAGAAAATGACTCATTGGAGAAAGTGGTCTTATGTAATAAAAGGGTGTGCAGTGTGCTGTGTATTAGCATCATGTTGTAGAGTGGGGCTCCTGGCATTTAGGAGCAGCAGCACCCAGGGTTCACCTCGGGGAGGTTTCCTGACAAGTGGCTCTTTGGAAAGTTCACTTCAGTCCATTGGGTTTTCTCTTGCTGTTGGCCACACCGGGTGAATTTAGAGTCAATCAATCAGGTAATGATGGCAGCCTTCAGCATGCCTTTTAAAAGACAAAGAGGGAATTCACAAGAGCACAGAGTGTATTGGGTGCTATGGAGGGAGGAGAGCACTGAGGGGCCAAGGCTGAGTGTTAGCAGTAGGGTGCTTTACTATTGATCTGCAGCTTTAGCAATGCAACAAAGAGCTCTGAGTAGCTACACTAATGTACATGAAAGGTGAAGACAGAAATACTGCAAAATAGGCTGAAACAATTAATCTGATGAATTGCTATTTATCAATTATTTAAAAACGTAGCATCTTCATCTGAATGTGGAACTGAGATCCAACCGTAAGAAATCTTAAATTTTAAACAAAGAGTCAAATTTAGGGTAAAAACACCTGTATGCACCATTTCAATACAATCTCAATAATGTGACAAACTCTGCAAATAAGCAAATTAAAATGTGCACATCAAGAATGTCTTGGATGTGATCAGGTCATGTAAATACCACTGCGGTGGGGTTATTTCTACAAAGATGATAGTGGTTTTGTACAAAACTCAAAATAATCATATTTTACTTGAATTTTTCATTCATTGATGTCATAAGCTTGAACAGATGACATCTACTAAAATTTGACCTCATCAGATTGTATTATTTGGGAATAACATGCTCAAAAAACTAGGCCAGCCTTATCCAAAGATATGTATAAAGTAGGTGACATTTGATAGTAATCTAAGTACTATCAAGGATGTACACTACCACTCAACCCCAATACCAGTTGTGTTTCCCTTCTGTGTGTTTAGTGTGTGTTCTCTGTATGTTCTTTGTTCCGTATGTGTTTGTGTGAGTTTGTGTGTGAGCTTCTGTGTGAGTTTATGTGTGAGCTTCTGTGTGAGCTTGTGTGCGAGCTTGTGGAGGCATGTGCACATGTACATGGCGGGTGCTTTGGCGCTGCACCTGGAGCAGCCTGCAGCTGTCTGTCCCCAGAGACGGGCCTGATTTCCCACAGCCACATCCAAAGCTCCTCACTCCTATTGTTTTGTACAAGTCCTCTGTGGTGTGTGCTGCTAATGAAACTGTTTGCTTTACTGCCCTGATAAGGTAAAACCAAACTTTAATGGGGCCTGTAGGGATGTGGAATCTCAGTGTTTATGGAGGAAAGAAAGATAAAAAGAGGTTTCAAATCAGACAGATGTGTGAGAACATGTGGTGAAAGCTAAATAAATAATGGGCCAATATCATGCAAAATAGATGCTTCGTTTTAACTGATTGCATCCGGTTCATAAAAGCAACAGCATTCAAAGTAACAGCTGTTGACAAACATGTAGCCTCCAGATTTAGAGAAAGTAATGTTATTTATGATGATTTGGAAGCAATAAGTAATAAGCAATAAGTCAGCTTTGATTTTCAATATAGGGCCGTGTGCAACAATCAGGAAGAAATAGGCTACAAATCAGGACTAAGAACAAAACATGAAGGAACATAAATTTAATATTTGCATTTGCACTGCTAACACTCTGCCATTACATTTGCTATTCAGTAAATTTCGGATACAGTAAAGACACTAAAGAAAGAGAGGATACATGTCAAGTCTATTACTGTCAAACAACACATAGGAGTGGATTTCTATTCTCTTTTTCTTGAACTTTGCTTTTACAACTCTGAAATGTGATAAAGCTAAGTCCTTGCAAAAATGAGAAATATCTATCTGAGTCTTGGGCATCCATTTGTAAAAGAGTCTACATTTGAGAAATAGTTGCAATACACTAGTACATGATAGCACCACAATAGCGGAATACACCTGCTACTCTTAGGTAACAGAAGTGAGTTAACACCACCATGTGACAAAAATAGACACTCTTCCTACACAGCTTTTTCTCACCTTGTCTAATTTCCACTTTTCTACTGTGATCAGTTGTTGAGACAAGGAGCCTGATTAAAATAACTAGAGGTTCATTTATACACAGCACGGGGCACCAGTGTAATGAGAAACCAGAATGTGAGATGCATCTAGTTAGACCAGCGCTGTCTAAACTATGGCCCGCGGGCTATATGCGGCCCTTAGATCAATCTTGTTGGTCCTCAAGCCTCTGAAGCTCACTGAATTGGCTCAAATGGCAAATGTATATCACTATAACCGTAGTAACATTACAATGCATTGTGATACCGACATCAAATAATTGCTCCAAGCTTTATTAAAGGTATGGCGGCTCTGTCAAAGTTGTTTAAATGCATCTGAATAATTGACCACAGTATTGACCAACAATCTGTGGCCCTCCGCTTCAAATTTTTCTATATGCAGCCCTTGGTGAAACAAGTTTGGAGACCCTTGTGTTAGATATAAAATATGTATACATTTTTTATCAAAATATTTTGGATAACTTGAAAAACCCGCCCCACTGTTGCTGTTGAGGAGGTACAGGCAGGAGGGGTAGGTTTGCTTTTATTCCGATAGTAATTATAGTGAGAGACTAGCACAGAAGAGGCGGCACACTGTTCTCTGTCCCATTATCCATCCACCTCCTAATACTTCACTATTGTTAACACCACTCCAAGCCTTTTAAACACAAATAAACTAGGACATCATGGAAGCATAAGAGGACCCCACTTCTCTTCATAACATCGAAGTAATCTGTG